GTAGACTTTTTTGAAAGTTGCTGGATTCTTTGAGGCCTGAATGGAAGTTATTTCTTTCACCAATAATTTGCCTATGTTTCCCCCAGATGCCTGGGGGTATACTAACAGTTTAAGAGTACTTGAAATGACATTGTCATATGAGATTTATTGAATATTACACGTAGTGTGATTCAGTCTGAGAACCTTTGTGAAGGTTACGTTTTGTGGTTACTCAAGAGAATTGATTAAACATTCTTGCAATAACAAAATTATAGAGGTGGAATATAGGGGTTGCCAGGGGTTAGAGATGGTGGGCTCTAGGAGTAGGTATGCCTGTAAGGGATAACAGGAGGGAGATCTTTGTGGTGTTCGTCACCTGAGGGTGTGGCCCTTTGGAATAACAGCTTTATATAGGTGTTTCCTTTTGACAGACTTTTAGAGTCTATCTCCTGAACCTCTGTAGCCATCAAAATGTAAGCCCAGTTTTCTGCAGTGCAACACATATTCTCACGATAAAAGCTGGTTTCTGGTTTTGCTTATTCTACTTTTGTTTATGGCTTATGTGAATACTGTACTTTCTTGCTAGCTAAGCAGTTCTTTAAAATAGATTTTTCCACTAATTTTTAGAAGTAATATCTAATAGTATCAAGGTATCTAGTCTGCCATACGCTGGAAATCAATGTCCCCATCTATCTACAATTTTGTTTCTTATCAAATATGTTGCTATTTTGCGCCTCAGCTTTCTTATATTTTTGTTATTATAATAGGTATTTTTCTTTATCTCTTTGTTCTGTCAGACTTATTGTGTAGGCCCATCACAGTCTATGCCCAATTATGTTTTCTAATCTCTTTTTCCCCTGTTCTTTCACTAGCCATATTATGGTTTATTAAAGACATCTTATATTATGGTTATCATTCTTTTACTCATGTCATTCCATCCTGCTTAAATGCTATCTCTTCTTTTGACTCCCAACTGCTGCTTCTAGCACTGCTGACATTTTAGGTTGAATAATTCATTTCTGTAGGGGCTCTCCTGTGCATTTTAGGATGTTAGCTGCAATCCTGGCCTCTGCCCATTAGATGCAAATAGTGACTTCCATTTGTGATAACCAAAAGTGTTTACAGACATTGCCAAATGCCCTTTGTAGGGGATGATGTCTCCTATAGTTGAGAACCACTGTCGTAGCCCTATACTGATTTGAACTCAGTTGAAGAGCCTGATCTGATTATCTGTGATTGTGGCTTTTACCTTTGGAATTTTGGTAGTACATATTATCTTGATTATATACTTGCCTCTTCTTAAATTTGGTTCTGAATTTCTTTGTCTCTCTCCCTTCCTCCCTGTCCTGTGTGTATTTGTCTTATTTGACCAAGTTTTAGAGTATAGGGACCATATATTTTACTTTTTTGTTTGTTGGCTGTTTTGGTCAATCCAATACACATATTAGTAGTTCTAAATATATCAGTTGGTTGCCTTTTTCCTGTTTTTTTCTTTTTATAAGGTAGCATTGGGGGCTTAGGAAATTGAATCACTCTAGAAAATGTGGAGAACTTCGAGGTGTTCCAAATTATGAGACTATAGACAATAGAGTTAATACCAATGTAAGAATGGTATATGTATCTAGTAATAGCTCTAGAAAATTCAAGACAATGCAAGATAGTTCTTAAGATATAAGAAAGATGTAATTTCTGTTAGATATATCCATCATATAAGTAACCAGAAAAATGTGCAGTAGAGTAGAAAAAATTGAGAAATATAGAAAGTGGAAGGATTTGTAGAAGCATGAAGTACGAATGATTAGTTCTACGGAGTGATATGAACAAAGTAATCAATATGTCAGGGTAAATTGTTAAGAATGATGGATGTAGCATCTGGCTAGGAGTGACTTGTATAAAGCTGACAAATGTGATATGTGAATGTTAGTAAGTTGAAAACAAGAGGGGCACAGAGAGGTTAGCTTCTTACTACCAACTAAAGAGAAACCTACATGTTTTGGGAAAGATAAAGCTCAATTATAGATTTTCCCCTTCTTTTTTTTATCATCAGCAAATTCTAAGTAAAAAGTGTAAATTGAAGCCTGAATCGGACTACTTTTATAAGGTACTTTTTCTTATCTAGGCCAAAATCTTCATGAAAAATAATTGTAAGTATAGTACCTGTTCATTGTAGAAAAATTAGAAAGCTATGAAAAGTATGGGGAAAATGAAGTTAGTTATAGTTCCCAAAGCCTAAACCACTATTATCATTTAATTTAGTTCCATTCTCTTGAATTTTATATGATCTGTCTCTCTCTGGATATAGGTATATGATATGCCTATGTGTATGTATAAATATATACTGCATATACATATATGTATGTGTCGGTGTGTAGCTATATTTATATAAAATAGGGATTATTTTATATGAAATGTTTTATAGCCTGTTCTTCACTTAACATTTGAACACTTTTCCATATCAGTAAAATTTTGAAGTGTGATATTTAGTGACTATCGGTAGCATTCTATTCTGAGATTATCCCTAAATTTATTTAAACATTTACTTAAACAGTTAGGTTTTCTTTCACATATACAAACATGTAAGTACATGTACCAATAATTTGCAGTGAACCCCTAATGAGAAATTTTGAGAGCATCCCCCATTTTCTTCAAAAAGTTGTTACCTGCACTGCACTGTGTGTCTTAGTTTGCCCTACAAAATTTATTTAACCTGTCTTCCTTAGTAAGAAGAACCTCAATGTTGTACCTGGGCATTATTACCAAAGTTGGAGACAGCATTTCCTAGCCTCTGAAATGTTTAGGTGTTGCCAAAGGACAAAGCTATGGTTTGTAAGTTGTAACCTGAAATAATACATGAGAATTAAAGGGAGCAGGGTGGGCCTTTTCCTCTGCTTCCTTTTTCTGTTGCCTACAACATGGATGTATTCGCCAGAGTGCTCATAGTCTTCTTGGAGCAGAAATAGTATGTGGTAGAGCAAAATGATGGAAGGAACTTGGGTCCTCAATGGAGCTGCCACATCAGTTTCTGATGGTTTATTTCTGGACATTTCCATGAAATTCTCTACCTTTTTTCCTTCTTGTTTAAGTAATTATATTATTACTTAAAAACAGTTTTTTGGGTGGCCTGGGTGGCTCAGCAGTTTAGCGCTGCCTTCAGCCCAGGGCCTGATCCTGGAGACCTGGGATTGGGCCCCATGTCGGGCTCCCTGAGCCTGCTTCTCCCTCTGCTGGCGTCTCTGTCTCTCTCTATGTCTCTCATTAATAAAAATAAATAAAATCTAAAAAAACACAAAACATTTTTTGGCATGGGAAGGGCATGACCTAATCCTATCTGATAAGGATACTATTGTTTAATACTCTATGTAGTAATGTGATAGATCAAATATAAGAACATGCACTATGTCCTGGTAGATTTTAGTTCTATACTGCAAACAAAAATCTACTTTGAGACAGGAGAGAGATAATTGGTATTTGAAGGAAAGTACTTAAAATGGTACATAATTTCTGGGTATTTTTGATAGCTATATTGCTAAATTTTGTTCTCAAGTACTTTTAATAATTATTACAAATATTATTTTAGAAAACACTTGGTAGCCTTTAGGCAAAAATAAACCTCCTAAAAACCCAAAACAGAACTCACAAAACAACCACAAACCATTGAGGATTGTATATTGTATTGTATCTGAATAATCCCTCCAAGCCCTATGAATTTTTAATATTATTAAGTATCTTGGCTAGTCACGTTGACAAAGTCGGCTCATAAATGTGACTTTTAATGTTCTCTTACTAACTTTATTGGAAGAATCTTGATAAAAACATTTTTGTTGCTGTAGACTTTTTTTTAGTATTGATTCTAAGAAAGTTATTCATAACTTAAGAATACACATTTAAAAAATGAATAAATATTTTTTTGAGCAGTTTTAGGTTTACAGAAAAATTGAGCAGAAAGTACAGAGTTCCCATATACCCCTTTCAAGGGTATACATTTTTTTTTCTAGGGTATTCCACTGCGTATAATGTTACACACATAACAGACTTTACATCTCTGAACCAAATGTGTGCTATTTTATAAGAGAAAAACCATGTACTACTAAAAATTATTTTATTCTACCCTAAGGTTTGCCATCCTCAGCACTATTAACATTTTAGGCCAGATGATTTTCTGTGGGGGTCTCTTCGGTGTATTATAGATATTTAGCAGCATCTTTGATCTCTACCTGCTAGATGCCATTAATATTCCCCAGTTATGACAACCAGAAATGTATGCAAACATTGCCAAATGTCCCTTGGGAGGGAAATTGTTTCCCAGTCGAGAACCATTGCTCTACCCAATTTATGCCAGTTTAGGATTTGATACATTTTTTTAGGTTGGGCTCAGATTTAAGGGATCTATAGTTCAAGAACCTTTATGGAGAAGTTGTGTAGATGAAGTTAGAATCTTCCCTTCCACTTGAAGACTGTAGGCAATCTTCTCTTCAAATGAACTATATTGTTTGAATTTATTCTCTGTAATGCATAAAAAACCCATATCTCTGTGCACAAGGCAGTTATAGTTTGGGATCTATCATTTCTGGATTTCAGAAGTACTATGGGTATACTCTATAAAAACTTTAAATGTCCAACAAAGACTGATTTATGAGGTCAATGGTGTTTGGTCTCTATGTGGTGCTCTAATTAGATTGTCAGTATATTCAAATTGTGGCAGTTAAGTGATCTCATGTATTCTATCAAGGACTTTGAGCTTCTCAAATTGAGGATAGCATTAAATGTCAGCCAATCACTTTGTCCTCCAAAGTTTTTGCCTTCATATCTGAAATCCTGCCAATTGTAACAGCTTGTGTGTCAGTTCCAATAGAGGAAGCTAGCCTCTGTTAGCTTGCACTTAGTCCACTAAAGACTTCTAAAAACTTTACGTAGTTTACAGCTAATAATGTCCACTTGCCATTGCTACTTTGTGCAATTATAAAACCTTGTTCACGAGTAATGAAATCTCATCTATAATAATTATTGTTTTACCTCTGCAGAAAATTTCCAAACACTTGGGGAAAATAGGAAAGCTATCAGAAAGGCAGTGGCACCATTATACTGTAAGTATTACTTTGGAAAAGAAGTGTAAATTAAGAATATTTTAAGTATCCAGTTGTTTGGGGGAAAATATGTAGGCAAAGATATTATATGTAAAATATAGAGCAGGATATATTATAATCATATTAATAATTTATAAGAACTAATCCAATGCAGTCCTTTAAAAATTGAAAATGTGTTCTTATGTATTGAGATGAGGATTTTACCAATAGCACTGAAAAATATTTCTAATTCTAACAAGGATTGATCTAGTTTATGTACATTTGCTTATTTAAAACTATCAGAATCCTGAAAATCATTGTAGTTTTGTAGGCTTGTGATTTGTTTGGGTGACTTATTGTTTAGGTTATTTTGCAGAATTATTTATTTGCTGATTTATTTATGTATTTCATTATTTATTTATTTGATTATTTAGTAAATTATTTATCTGATGAATTATTAATACATCTTCATGACATGCTTTAAATTATTTATAACTTAATTTTGAGTTTATTGCTTTTAGAGCCTGCATTGTTACTGACTAGTTTTGATTTTTTTCTTTGCAGTTCTTTAAAATTAAAGTATTAGCTCTAAGGCAAAAGTGTATTCATTGCAATGCCCAAGGACTTTTTTTTTTTTTTTAGTAATTTATGGTAGAGTTGAAATTTCAGTTATGCTTTGTTTAGCTCTAAATTTACCTGTTTAGGGTTACTGATGATAGAATGTTTATGTGTTGTGTGCATACACATTGTAGAGTCACTTACAAATTAATGATATAGCCTATAGTATGTAAACTGAGATTGAACTTGTAAACCTCAGTCCACATTATCCTTTGTATCTCTAAAGGGCAGGTCTGTATTTCTTACTTGCTTTAGAATAACTAATATAGTCTTGTTATTTTGTTGTAGGGGCAAATCTATTTTACCACTGGGATATTTTTAGGAAAGTTCAGAGAAATGAAGTCCAATTTAGATTTGGATCCCTGAGATATAAATTTGACTAATGTAGCCTTTGTTTTTTTTTTTTTTAATTCTCATTATAAGAGTATTTAGCAAACAATGTTATATTGAGACAGATTTTTATATCAGTCATGGTGACATATTTAATGTCCTATCTCTTATGGAAAGTTTTTTACCACTTTATTTTATGAACTAAAATGGACAAGGGCCTTTATAAATGAAAGCTATAATTTCTCTGACTTTAGGTAATAATTCTCTTATGTAACATTTTTATTTTTAAATATTTCTTTTGTCTGATTTTGTTTTCTAAGGTAGTGCAGTTATTAGGGCTCTCTTATCAAATTGGTTTAATGAATAGGTTAAGTAGATATTTGGGTAAAAGAATGTCATATGTACAACTTAGTCTTCTTCTGTATTTGCCTGCAATGAATTACTGTGTACTTTTACAGTTTTAACATTGCAGAGAAAGGCAACATTGTACAATTCAAGTTAGGATGCTGTTTTTTAATGTAATTTAATTATTTTTTATTTTTTTTTGAGAGAGTGTGAGCGGGGGGGCTAAGTGTGGTGGGGAGGCGAAGAGGGGAGAAGGAGAGAAAATCTTGAGCAGGCTCTACACCCAGCACGGATCCCCATGCGAGGCCCGATTTCATGACCCTGAGATCATGACCTGAGCTGAAATCAAGAGTCAGATGCTTAACTGAGCCACCCTGGCACCCCAGGATGTTGTTGAAATATGCTGAAAATGGCCTCTGTAGAGAGGTTTTACTACAGGATGTAAATTATGCACATATATACCCACATTTCTTATTTTGAAATGTTGAATATATGAATATTTAATTGGAATATTCCTTTAGCGTCTTCATATGTTTGCGTTTAAGGAAGTGGTTTCACTTGATTTATATACATGGATTTAAAAATGTGTGTATTATACATATCTGTGACTTCTGTTTTGGAGATGAACAACCACAAATACTGTCAGATATGGAATTTTATTTCAAAATGTGCTTCAGTATGCCAATGTGGACTTCTTTTGAAGAAAAAAGCTGCCTTCTCCAATGTTGAACAAGATCTTACTATGTTAGTTGTCACAATACTATACTCAGACACACTGTTAATATGTATTTGTGGAGTATTAGCTGTATTATCCAAGTGGTCTTCATTGAAAGATAAACGTGTGTGTGCACACATGCACACACATATGCACACATATGGGAAATTTTCTCCTGACATGAAAACAATTATTTAGAAATTGGTTTTGGAAGGAGACATTAATGGAGATTTTCATAATAATAGCTATCATTTATTGAGCACTTACTGTGTGCACGTGCAGTGCTTCCATGTTTCACATGGATTGTTTGTTGTTTTTCACAGTGAGAGAAGTACAGTTATTGTGTTCATTTTATGAATGAGGAAACAGAAACTTGGCGTTTAAATAACTTGGTCATTGCCACACACATGGCAGTAAGTGATAGCACTGGGATTAGGACTCATTGAATCTGACTCTCAAGGGTCTTTCTTAGCCCATTACAGTTTTGCATGTGTAGTTGGTATTAAGCAGTTTGGGTTTTGTTTTTTTTTAAGAGAATGTAATTATCTCTTTAATTTGGTAAGTATATTCACTTCGTTATTACACTTGGTCATCTTTTCTAAATAGTGGGCAGTACTTGGGCTTCTTGAATTTTCTGATTTGATTCTTCTTGTAATCCTGTATAGTGGATCAGAATTACATAAAGAAGAATTTGTGCCTCAAGGAGATTGTATGGTTTGCCTGGTAGATGTCCAAAACGCAGGCCTTTGGACTCTTAAGCCCAAGGCCATTTCCAGGGCTCTGTTTGGTCAAATCTGATTTCCTTGTACAAATAATGGTATTATCAGAGTTAAATACGTATTGTTAAGAGTCTGATGTCTAAGCGTTTATAGGAAATGGCCACAAATGTACTGTTAACTCTAATACATTGTTTAACATACAGCTAAGTATTTTAACATGTGCATAAAAAGGATGAGAACATAGCCAGTTGTAATTTTAAACACTTAATTGTAATTATTTAAAAGATTCTTCAGAGTCTCTAGGAGTAAGGAAAAATGTTTTGACTTTGTGTGAGGTTAAGGGAATGGGATCTTTTAACTCTGTTTGCTACCTAAAGACAAAGAGACATCTTTTTCATCCTGGGTCTGAAGCATACGAAAGGCATCAGAAAGCAGGTGAGCTAGAGTTAGGCAGTAGTGGAATTTGAGCGATGGTGTGAATGTTGTAAGTGGCTGCATATGTATGAACAGTAGGGTTCTATGTGAATCACACAAAGTTTTAAGTTAGAGTTTCCAAGTAAATAATTAATGTTACATCATAAAATCCTCAAAATACATAATTTAGGTAATATGAAATACTGTAACAGCTAGGATGGCCATATAATTTATCTTCCAATTCAGGACACACTACTACAGTGTGATAGTATTATCTCACATACCTTTTGAGTAATTCCTAATACCCTTATATAACATACATTTAGGAGTAATCTTAATTCACACACAATGTCTTTGAAAATATTTGATTTTGTGATAAAACTGACTTCTTTTGCCAGTATTTGTATGTTTTTATTAGGCAACCAAGGCAGTTTGTTGCTCTGACTTTTATAAAGTATGATTGATGTTTCACAGCTTATGGTGTTACTATTGGGAACAGAAAGATGAGGATGGCAAAGTTGCTTATAGTATAATAGAGAGTTCTAGTTTCTCTTCTATATCATACATTACAGGATTTCTATGTTCATTTTACCTTGCAAATCTTTTAATTGGCATATTTTAATATTATACCGAAAACTAATCCTATATGTTTTACTTCAGAATTTATAATTTTATGTTGGATGATCCAGTGTTTTTTATCCCCCCCCTTAAAAAATCATGTTACATTTCATGTATATTGATATTTTTGCCAAAATATTTTTTAAAACAACTATTTATCCTTAGTAACATTTCTTTTTTCCTTAGTAACATTTTGTGTAGGAAAATAGGAATCTCTAGAAAAGGGGTTTTTTTTTTTGTAGTTTTCTTTTTAATTCCCTATTGATAGGTATCTATCAAAAATGACATTACATTGTTAAGGTCATAATTAGATTATTAAAGTTCCAGTTTCTTTGCCTTTAGAGCATAGATGATTTAAGTTCAAACAGATAACCACACTGGCATATTTTTGTTTGAATGTACAATAAAAAGAAAAATTCTTGTGCAGTAATTCTTATTCATTCATACGTATAATCTCAGAACTCTTTTTGTTCAGAAGGCCCTATTATGTCTGGAAACAAAAGAGGAGCTTCCTTGTATTCTGACTTGAATTTGCAAGTATAAAATACTTTGTAAAATACTACTGTAGTTGTAAGAGTAGTAGCATGACTTATATGTTGGCTCTGAGAGTAGCTCCTTTATAATTATGACAAGTGAAAGTACAGCCAAAGGTCACATTAAACACAAAATTTCTTTCACACCTCGTCCATTTTGTGGATAGCATGTGAAGTAGTGTAGGTCCCTGCACTGATATATTAAGAGAGCCAGCCCAAGGTTGTCCTGTGGAAGTGTTTCAAATACCTTTCTCCATAACCTCCCATGTGGTTCCTAAATTTGGCATGAATGTATATTTGAATCCTGACTAATTAAATAGAACCTTATTAAATTTTGAGTTTGCAAAATAAAAAAAAGGGGATTCATGCAGTAAGGATTTCTTGGGGCAATAAAATAATACATATAAGACTTTAATAATACTGAATATTATAAATATAGTATCTTTAGTGTTGATGTTGCTCAGTGAAACAATGAACACCAAACAACATAAAGTAACAATAAAAACAAAGTAAAATCCACACAATAAAACAAAGTAAAATCCACACAAATGAAACTATGTAAGCATTGCCTGCCTATGCACATACAATTTGTGGATTATATCCTATTTTTTTTTACCCTAATTTGACTAAGTAAATGTTGGAATATTAAAAGGATTATATAGGAAAACTTTCTATTAAAAATTATATAAAGTCATATATATACATATGACCTAGAGTGGTTATTAGATT